AACAGGGAAGGGCCAGCTGACATCCCTGTCGACATGCCCTCTAGTTCTCGGGGAAGAGGTCATGCAGTTCCCTATCATATGACCTCCCTGCTGTCACACAGAACCACACAGGACACTGGCCTCCCTCCTCCTGTGTGCCTGTTGCAGGTGTGACCTGCTCTGGGAAGCTGGGTCACACCTTCATCACAGTGGCTTTCAGCTCAGACCACACAGCGGCAGCCTCGGTCCTTAAAGCCACCTGGCACAGCCTGCAGGGTGCTCACCTGCCAGTGTTGCTGTTTCTGCCCTTTGCAGCCATTGTACTCCTCTGTTCCTATGTCTGTGCACCTGTTCATTCCCAGCATTGGAACTGCCGTGCTAGAGTTTGTGTTCAGAACTCCAAGTGTCCGGAAGAGCTGGCCCCTGCAATTACAGCAGGCTGGAGTGAAGGCAGGCACCTGGGACTCTGCTGGAGCTCTGTCAGGTTCTTTTCTGTTGTTTTGTTTTGCTTTTTGTTTTCGTGTCATACCTGGTGGTGTTTGGGGGCTCTGCCTGGAGCTTGCTTTGGTGTCACTTCAAGCACTGTAAAGTAGGATCACCTGGTCCCAGGACTGAACGGAGGATCTCGTGTGCCAGGCATGTTCTCAGCCCTTTGAGCCCACTCCCAGTCTCTGTTCTCTTCCATTTGAATGAAGTGTGTGGCTTGTGCCAGAGTCGTTCCCATCTCCAGGAAAAGCTCCATCCCAAGACTGGGGAGGTGACTCAGTGGAAGAGCCCTTGCCCTGCATGGATGAGGGCCTACGTTCCTTCCCTGGCCCTGAGAAATCAAACCAAACCAAACCACCAACAAAGGGTCTTGATTTGTCCGCAGATTTAAAAAAAAACTTGTAAAAATCATTTTTAATATATTTTTAAAAATTAAAACTTGGTGTTTTTTTTTTTGTGCCACACCTGGCAATGCTCAGGGGTTACTTCTGTCTTTGCACTCAGGAATCACTCCTGGTATTGCTTGGGAGACCATATGGGATGCCGGGGATCAAACCCATCTCGGCCATGTGTAGGGCAGTACTCTATCCACTGTGCTTTCCATCTGACCCTTATTTTACTTTTTACTTTTCCAAATTTTATTTTATTAAAGCATCGTGAGTCACAGAGTCATTCATAGTTGGGTTTTTGTGTCATTACATTGTTGTTTTGGGATTACGCCCAATTGTGCTGAAGGATCAAGTGCTCAGGGGTCCTTTCTAGTGGTGCTCTGGAGCATGTGGCACGAGAGCTCAGATCTGGGCTTGCTGCTTGCACAGTCTGTGCTCAGCTCATTGTGCTCGCTCTCTTGCCCTTGTCAGAAGATTTAATTCTGTCAGAGACTTGGTGCTTGCAGTGTAGAAGACGCACACCCACCTGCCCAGGTGTGGGCCGTGGCTGAATGTAGACAAGCCCACCTGCCCAAGATGCGGGTCCTGGTGTAGACACACACCGAAATGCCTGAGGCGTGGGCCCTGGTGGAGTGCAGAAATGTGTTTCTTGCCCAGGGGATCCCTTCAGTGCATTGTCCTGGCAGGTGCAGCAGGAACGGGATGATCTGTACCGGAAATTCACTGCAGCCATCCTGGAGGTGCAGCAGAAGGTGGGCTTCAAGAACCTGGTTCTGGAGCGCAAGCTTCAGGCGCTCAACGCTACCGTGGAGAAGAAGGAGGTTCAGTTCAACGAGGTGCTGGCTGCCTCCAACATGGACCCTGGAGCCCTGACTCTCGTGTCCCGGAAACTGGAGGTATCTTGGGGGTCCTGGGGAGGAGCCCGGACAGGCCAGGAGTCCCCTGTCTCGTGTTGGCCCCCTGTGTCCTGCCTCATGGTTCTGGTGGAGACCCTCAGCTGGCCTGGGCAGAACACGGTGGTTCCTGTCTCGAGTACAGACAGGGCTGCCGTATCTCTGCTTCCAGCCTACGGGTACTGGACATGGTTCCCATGTCCAGGTGCTTATGAGCCTTGCCATGTCTCTTGGGTCTTCCTGGCACCCTCCAGACCTCACTGCCCATTACATTCCGCAAGATAGGCTCGGCGTGGTCCTTCTTAGCTGCCACTTCGGTGTAGCACAGTGTGGCTCTGAGGGGAGCTGCTCTCTGTCCTCCAGTGACACACTCAGACACAGACTGTTCCCCAGGCACTGCTGTGTGTGGCCTCACAGCTACCCTACCCCAACCAAACACCTGGACAGAGGGGACCTGAGCAGCATCCAGTGTTGGTCTCACTGCTGTCTGGCTCTGCGGGTCAGCTCTGAGCCTAGTCTCTGACTCCTGCACCCAGCCTGGGGAAGTGCTGAGCTGAGGGGAGGGGACAGGGCTGCTGGGTGCTCAGACATTTTGCCTGTCCTCCAAGTCCCTGAACGCATCCTTGAGCAGCAGCAAAGGAAGGGTCTGGAGTGGGGGATGGGGCAGAACATCTGAGCTGCCCTGCAGCCACTGGTGGTGGGAGGAACGGGAGTAGGAGGGGAGCAGGCGGACCCAGGGTGGGGGTTGCTGTGGAGCCGGGTTGGGCCTGGGAAATGCTGGTGACAGAATCTGGGGTGCTGGTTTGTGGAAGTGGTGCCTGGAAGGACTGATCATCCAGGATAAACCCCTGGGGGCAGGGGTGATGCACCCACAGGGGGCTCTCATCCAGGCCTACAGCACACTGGCCTGGTGTGGGGGGCTCACCTCTGTGGGCATCACAGCACTAGCAGATGGGGAATTCTCCTTGCTGCTGGACGGGGTCCACCCCTCACCCTGGGCAGGGGGCCAGCTCCTAAGGGCCTACCCAGGGCAACAAAGCTTGAGTTTCCCCTGGGTTGTTAGTCCCCTCTCCCCACCCTCGCCCCCATTGTTCTGGGTGCCTGCAGGGACACCCTGGCTTTTCCTGTTATGCACCTTGTGGGCAGGGAATGACACTCATGAACCACCATGTGAGGGGGGCTCTAGGGGTTCCCCGATCGAGACCAGCCTCACCCTCTCCAGCCCCTCACCACTGCAACAGTGTCTTCGGGGGCACTGTGTCCTGTGTCCCTTGGGGCCTCTGCACAGGCTGCTCCTTCTGGACTGGTGTGTGTAGTGGCTGTGTGTGAGTTGTAACAATGGCAGGTGTGTGTAACAGGTGTATGTGAGGGGTATATGTGTGGTGGGTGCGTCCTGTGTGTGTGTGAGGAGTATGTGTAGTGTGTGTGTGTGAGGTGTATATATGGCGGGTGTGTGTAGCAGGTGTGTGAGGGGTATTTGTGGTGGGTGTATGTGAGGGGTAAGTGTGGCGGGTGTGTGTACCAGGTGTATGTGAGGGGGGTGCTGGTGTGTGTGTGTGGGGGTATGTGTGGGGTGTGTATGTAAAGGGTAAGTGTGGCAAGTATATGTAGCACGTGTATGTGTGTGTGAGGGGTGTGTTGTGTGTGTGTAAGGGTATGTGTGGGGTGTGTGTGAGGGATATATGTAAGGGTGGGGTATTCGTGGTGTGTGTGTGTGTGTGAGGGGCATTTGTGGCGGGTGTGTGTTCTAATGCCACTCCCTGCCTGAGGGTTCTACTGGGATCCCAAGCACTGCGCCTGTTTCACCTCCAAACTAGTGTCAGACTCATGGTTACCTTCTCTCCTAGGATGTGCTGGATTCAAAGAACAACACCATCAAGGACTTGCAGTACGAGCTGGCCCGTGTCTGCAAGGTAGAGGCCCCTGTTGTCACCCTGAACCCCTTATTTATACCTTTGACTTCTCCCTGCACGTGATCACTTGGCTGACTTGTGACCTGGGGCATGTTTGCATCATTCTGACCACTCCCTTGCTGTTCCCTGACAGTTTATCTCATCTACCAACCAATCTTTGACCCTCACTCACCATATGGAGGCCAGAGGAGGGGCCTCACCTGCTCCCCAAGTCTGTGTCAGTAATAGGCAGAAGCTGTATGTCTTACGAGGGCCGCACACACTCTTCCCCAGCCCAAAAGCCAGCTACAAATCGCTGTGCTAGCCTGGGAAGCCAGTGAGGGCCTCTACGTGGCCCCAGCTCCACGTAGGAGCCATGGCTGTGTCTGGGCTTTGCCCACAGGGAACACAGCATATGTACTGCACAGGTGGGGCTCAGACACACTGTGACTTTCAGGAGTGGGGGCTGCACAAAGTTGATGCCTATGTGGTGCCTTTCCTCAGCACTCAGCCCTCAGTCGCCCTTGGGCCCCTGCATCTGAGACTCATATGCACAAAACGGGGACCACCAGCTGCGAGCTAGGGCAGTGGTTGAGAATCCCCAGGACCTGCATCTGATCTGAGTTGTGGCTGCAGAGAAGAGGCAGGTCCCTAAACTGGCACCAGTGTGCACCGTCATGCCCTCTTGGACCCTGTTGGCAGGGTCCAAGTGCTTCTACCCTTGCTTTCCAGATGGGGAACAGGATGGGCACCATGCTCAGAGAGCTGTTTTCAGATGGAGGAGGCTGCCCGACTCTCCCCTAGCGGCACAAAGTGGGTGGAGGTCCCAGATGGAGGTCCCAGAAGAGCTGTTTTCAGATGGAGGAGGCTGCCCAACTCTCTCCCAGGGGCACAAAGTGGGTGTCAGGCAGGAACAGTGTCCATCCAGAAGCAGCTCAGACTCCAGTGATGCTGAGTTTTTGCTTCTGCTCCATTTTTCCATCTGTGAAATGGGTATAACGGTAACCACCCAAGTTCACCCTCCAACCTGCCAACCCTTCTGTTCCCACAGGCCCACAATGACCTGTTGCGCACCTATGAGGCGAAGCTCCTGGCCTTTGGGATCCCCCTGGACAACGTGGGCTTCAAGCCTTTAGAGACTGCTGTTGTGGGGCAGACATTGGGTCAGGGCCCTGCAGGGCTGGTGGGCACCCCAACATAGCCCTCCAGACCACTGCCTGGGCCACACCTCTGCACACACCCAGGGCAGCACACAGTGTGCTCCATTGTGCTGTTAGTAAACGAAGGTTTTCATATTTACTGTGTAGAGAAGTCACTTTGGGAGCCACAGCCCTGTCTCAGTGAGGACAGCAGCTCGAAGATCCCAGCACCACCTTTATTCACTTGGTCACAAGCCTCTCCCCAGAAACCTGGCAAGGAACACAACCCATTTTGTTGAGGGCCAGGGGATGGGATCTGTGCATGCAGGCCAGCTGGTGATCAGGCAGAGAAGATGGCGTGGCCTCTAGCTCCCTCGGTAGGTGGTGTAGGACCACGGGCTCAGCAGTAGGGGCACGTGAAACTTGTGGGTCTCATCTGTGATGGTGAAGACAACCTGTGACCAAAAGAGAGGGAGGAGTCCACACACGGCTGTGAGTGGCTAGGCCCTCCTGGGGAGCCAGTGACAGGACAGGGGCCATGGTTAGAAGCCCCAAAGCAGAGGAGAAACCAGTGATCTTGAGAAACCTGGTCCTGCAGTACCCCAGTGGGGTCAGGTGGCAGGGAGGTGGTCAGGCTGGGCTTGGCAGGATGCAGGTTGCACCAGAAGCTGAATCACACAAGGGCAGGGCAGGGACAGGTGTGTGTAAAGTACCCTGGACACCTTTCTTCTGGGACCTCAAAGCAGGTGTGCTTGGCCAAGGCTGCCCTGGGGATGTGGGCGGGACATGGCCTCACCTCCACATACGGGTAGAAGCTCTCCAACCCTCTCTCCCTCCAGTAGCTCTCCGTGTCAAAGAACAGCTTGTAGGTGCCCACCTTCATCTGGCCTGGGGACATGAGCCCAGGACAGCGGCCATCTGGGTTGGTGTAGCTGTAAGAGAACAGGGAGAGAAGGGTTGAGGGTCCACCCTTGGGTCCACCCTTGGCTCTTGGGTCTGCACAACCAGCAGGCACGACACACCCACAGCCGACTCCAGCAGGTGACCAGGGACAGGAAAGTCCTGCAACAGGATAGATGCTCAATGCAGGAAGGGCAGTCTCCCAAAACTATCCCCTGATCAGTAGGCACTTGCAGTTGACATCTGTGTGCTCAGATTCTCTGTAAGTTCCCTTATTCGCAAATTTAACATAAAAGTGGGTTGTACTCTTTATATCATATTAGTAGCTGTGCCCAAAACCCTATCCCCCTGGTGCCTATGGCTAGCTACACTAAACATCCTAGGCTAGGGCAAGGCCTATGCCCTCTGATTTGGAAAACTGCCTCTTCCCGCTGGCTGTGCATCCAGCATCTCTCCGCTGTGGGTGCCTGAAGGTGCTAGAGTTGACTGAGGCCAAGCAGCCAGCCTCAGGTTCCCCCACCACCAGTGGGCGTCAGGTCTGGTGCCTTCTGCCGGCAAAGGCTAGGGGTGGTCCTCCCCCCGCTCCCCCACCCTCACAGTCCTCCCCTCCTATCTATAAAGAGGCAGTTCAGCCCTGTGGGGAGAACAGAAAAGAAACTCAGCAGCCGGCCAGCTGCTAGCACAGGGTTACCTGTTAACCTACTGATGACCCCAGCCCTGGGACCATCCAGCACTGTCTGTCCTGCCCTTTGGCCTCTGGGATAGTATCGGTCAGGACGCAGAACCAGCCACATGCTCCCTCAACTCTTCCCTTTTACCTTTTCCGCAGCTCTGTCCAAAGCTGGCCATGGTCCTCAAGCCTGGACAGTCGCAGGCACAGACCCTGGGCTGGGACCCCGGCGGCGGTGTCCAGCACGTGTGTGGTCAGTGGGCTCGTTGTGGGTTCCATGCTGGGACCCTGGGCCATCAGAGGGCAGGGGTGAGTGGTGAGGGAGCAGGCTTACCCCGCTGGCCTGGATGAAGCAACAGCCCTAGAGTAAACACCTCTGGCGCCAGAGTCCCAGGTGCCCCCAGCCCTGCGGGGCTGGGCCCGCTGAGTCAGCTCGCGAGGACGCAGGGTGGCCCCGCAGCCACAGGCCTCGAAGCCCACCGTGGTCCCATCCCCAGTGGCCGCAGAGACCCGTGCCCACTACACGGCCCTCAAGCAGCCGCTCCTTCAGCCCTGATCACTAGCCAGTCCCCGCCCTGTTGGGGGACCAGGTGTCCTCGGAAAGCTCGCTCAGGGGTCTCCGCAGCGAGAGTTCGGGCCCGCCCTTACTTACCTCCAGGGAGCGCAGGTGTCGCTGCAGGACTCGCAGCCGCGGGGTCGCCCCGCAGCTCATGCCCGCGACCTCGGACTCAGGCCGAGACCACCCCCGCCCCGCCCCAGGCACCGCCCTCGCCCCGTACCGGCCCCCGGCACCGCCTCCACCACCGCCCCCAGGCCCGGCACCGCCCCGCAGCGCACCGTTCCGGGTGCCACCCCCAGCCCGTCCCCCCACCCCGTGCCAGGCGCCGCCCTCAGCGCCCAGACCCCGACTCCGGCCCCGCCGCGGACCGGCCCCTCCCGACCCCTGCCCGATCCCCTGCGGGTCCCTCCCGTTCCCTCCCGGCCCCGGCGGGCTCCTCCCCCCCAGGCCCCTCGGGGCCGCCCGCTCCACCCGGAGACCGGTCGGGGCGGCCGGGAGGCGCCGGGGCTGTTGCAGGGGCGGCGGGGTGGCGGGGACGCACGGACCTGGGGCCGCCGGACCCGGAGTGGCGGCGGGTGGGGCCGCGGGGCGTGGTCTGGGCTTCGGGGCGGGGCCTCGGGGAGGGCCTGGGCGGTGGGGCGGGACCGCGGGGCGGGGCGGGGCCTGGGCGGGGCCTCCCGGCGGGCGGGGAGGCGGGGAGGGGGCTTTCGAGGGGCGACAAGGGACTGACGGGTGGAGCGGGGCAGAGTCTGGGACGCGGCGCGGCGAGGCCGGGGGCGGGCGGGAAGGTGGGAGCCCGCCCCTCTGTCCGAGCCCACTGCGGGCGTTGCCTCCCTGCCCTCCCCTGTAAAGGCCGCGTGAGGGGCTCTCAGCCCTGGAGTGGGGGCTCTGCACCCCGACAGGGCCCACGCGGCGGGGGAAAGCCCCGTGGGCCAGCGCCGGCGCGAGACGCGGCTGCGCCCGGTGGCCCCGTGAGTGCTCCGGCAGGGCCCCGGGGCGCGCGTGCACGTGCGGGCTGCAGGCCTGGCCTGGTCCGGCGGAGGGACGTCGGGGTGGAGGCCCCGGCTGGAAGCACATTCAGTCTGGCACACGGAAGACCCGTGTGGACGCACCTCGCACTGCGTTGTGCAGAGTTGACTTGCCTTTCCTCTGTAGTCAGAATATTTTATTTCGTTTTGTGCCACACACAGTGGTGCTCAGGGATTACTCCTGGCTCTGTGCTCCAGAGAACTCTTGTGGCTGGTCTTGGGGGACCACACTAGATGCCGGAACCCTGCAGCCAGTGTTGTACCCGGGCTTGGGGTTTCCAGTTCGCAGAGGGACCAGTTCCACCCGTGAGAATGCAAAAGCAAAGGAACCTGCGACCTAGCTGGAGCTAGGATCCAAGTCTCACCCGTCAACGCGGTGGAGTCTTGAGAAGGACCCCAACTCTGGAACATTATATAGCGTAGTTACATAAGCAGAGTTGGCACAGTTGTTGGTTACAGTTTGCGGCTTCTTCAAGAATTGTGGCCCTCCCCCCAAAAATTTGTAGTGGAGCAGTCACAAGTTTGTGAGCTAATTGGTCAGGCACACCTACTGTGCCCTAGGATAAGAGATATCTTGCTTATCATATGACTGGTTAGTGGCATCTAGGGACAGTTTCAGGGAACTAGAAACCTGTGCTTTGGGGAAACAGAAACTTAGGCCTGACAGCTAAGCTGGAGCCGTCATGGCACATCTGAGGCGTTCGCCGCCTCACACCGGCTGAGGTGCAGCCCTACTGGTTGTGTTCTCCTCTGGCCCTCATAATTTTAAAAAAGTATATTCCTTATTCTTTTTTACCTAATTCAATATCTAAGGCCACTTGGTAAAGATATGTGTGCAAGTATGTTCAACAGATAGATTGTGATAGAATAAAGATATAAAATACATATATTATCTACCACCAGGAGCCTGATCATGAGATGGATTAGTTCATTTAATTAAAATTTTTTATTGTAACATCGTGATTTACCAAATTGTTCATAAAACAGTTGTTCCAGGCATTAAATGTTCCAACACCAATCCTATCATCAGTGTGATCTCTCCACCAATGTCCCCAGTTTCCCACCTGTAGGATAACATTGGTTTGTCCTTTCCGCCTTGCCACAGGGAGCTTAGGTTTATTGGGTCACTCCCATCACAGTGCTCCCATTCCTCTGTGTTTATTTGCATCCTCTTTCTACATGCTCTGTTAATTTGTAAATATTACTTTTCTCTTCTCCTTAAGTCCTTTACTTAGTTGATTCAGAGCATTGTCCTTTTTGTATGGACACAGGAAGACAGTTAATGCTATGCTTTTGTAACTTGTGAATTAGTTGACTGAATGATATTACCTCCCGGACATCTGTTCTCTCAACTTAAGCCTCAGTTGCCCTTACTTCCTAGCACCCTAAAAGCAGGGTCCCGACGAGGAACTGGATTGACCCAGGGCGAGCAGTGAGCTATTCTGGCATCGAAATGGGCCAGGCCAAAGTGTCATAATGCTTAACTATAAGTTAAGAGCATGGTCATGGACAGATGCTGTCATGATTCAAAAAGCAACAATTAGATTCAGACCCTGCTAGGGTTAGGAATGATTAATCTCGCCTGAGCACTGTAGTCTGAGTCTGTGGCAAGATGTCCCCAGGAGAGCTACTCTACAAGCTCAATGAATCTATTACTATGTCCATACAAAATAACTAATATTAAGATGTTAAGATGTTAATTATGTTACTGGACTAAGGAGAGCAGAAACACCCCTGAGTGGTATTTTGCCCTTGAGCTGAAGAAGGGCTTCTGATATGTTGATTTTGCTGTCAGATGGGGTGTGGTGCCTACCTGAAATACAAAGAGTTGGAGAGAAACTAAGGAGACCAGGGCATCAAGGTGGAGCGCCCAGAGACTAGCAAGGGGGACAGAGGGAGAAGACTGTAGGGGAAGAATGCAGGAGCAGGTGTGTGGAGAGCGAGGTAGTGAGAGGGAGCGCAGAGAGATGAGTGGGAGAGACAGGAGGAGACAGGAACGAGTGGCAGTGTGAGACGAGAATGAGGGTCTCAGTGAGACTGGAACAGGCGTGTGGGGAGAATGTAATAAACGGCAACTGATCATCAACCAGCCTGGTGGCCTCATTTCCTCCTTCGTCTGCCTGTGGCATGGGCACCCTGGGTGTGGGAGTGGCCCTTCTTCTTCTACTTTTTTTTTTTTGGCTTTTGGCTTCACACTGGCAATGCTCAGGGGTTACTCCTGGCTCTGCATCAAGAATTACCAAACGCAATTGTGAAAGGGAGAGCCGCCGGGGATCTCCCTAGTTGCCCAGAGATTACACACCCACCCACCACCCCAGCATGCCCCTTTACAGGTACAAACAAATTTACTTCATATTGTTTGTTCCAACACAAAGGCAAATTAAATTATTAAAATTAGATCAATAAGAGTCAATTTGTGATAGTTGTTATATCTCACAATCACGATCATGATCATCCTGTTGTTCGTCGATTGCCTCAAGCAGGCACCAGTAACATCTCCTTCGTCCTAGCCCTGAGATTCTAAAAAGTGCCACATTCAAGGCTCTTTCAGGGTTAGGAGAATGAGACCCATCATTGTTACTGGTATTTGGCATATTGGGTATACACCACGGGGAGTTTGCCAGACTCTGCTGTGTGGGCAGGTTACATTTGGTAGCCTTCCAAGTTGTCCAAATCAAGAATGAGATAAGGAGACTCTGCGCTGTTCTCTTCCAGAAGCTGGGTTTTATAGTCTCTGGGTCTTGGCCGTTGATGGGATTACACGATGCAGGGGGCAGTTGGTGGGTGTGAGCCCTGCCTACTGGAAGATGGAGGTTCTGGGTGGAGGATGCTCAGCCCCGATCCGAGCAGGCTTGGAGTTCTCAGCCCTGTGACCCGCATGCCTTTGTTTCTCTGCCATTACCTTCATGCGTATGGAGAGTGGTCTCAGCATGGCTGTGGCTGGTTCTGGAGGTCTTCGGCTGCCGGGGTTCTCACAATGGTGTTAATAAAGTCATTGAAGATTTACTAGGCTGGTTGGTGCTAGTTGAACCTTCTCTGTTACTGTTCAGGCTTATTAAATATGGTGCAGAGAAGTATGCAACTTTCCCATCAGATTTTCTGATCCTGCTGGCTGACAGTACTATGAAATTTGGAGGTGTGTCAGGTCCACACATGTCCAGGGGCTCTAGAGCTGGAACAATTTGGTGGCTTGGCAGTTTGATGAGGTTCAGTGTGGATCTGATTCATTTCTGTTTCTGTGTTGGAGGGTGTCCAGCGTGACTGCTGGCTGCTGTGCACTTAGGAGGAAAGATCTGTTTACCCCGTTCTGAGAAGGCCCAGAGTTGTCAGCCTAGACCTCTCCACCTGGGAAGATTTGGTGACAACATATTCTTTTTGAAATTAGTGGAGCTGTTTCTCTGTTTGTTTGTTCATTTAATATGGTGTCTGACAGTCTACAGTCCTCCGCTCTACCAGCTGAGCTATCATAGCACAGCGGTAGGGCGTTCGCCTTACAAGCGGCCAACATGGCCGACCCGAGTTCGATTCCTCCGCCCCTCTTGGAGAGCCCGGCAAGCTACCGAGAGTATTCGATATGCCAGACACAGTAACAACAAAGTCTCCAATGGAGACGTTACTGGGCCCGCTCGAGCAAATCGACGATCAACGGGAGGGCCTTTACCTTTTACCTTTTAATATGGTGTCATTCCGTGGGTATTTGCATGCATCCAAGTGTCAGCAAGCAATATAAGTGGGTCCTGCCCCCAAATGACAGAGGATGTCTAGATTATTTATTTATTTATTTATTATTTATTTATAGATAAAGCATGTAAGGATGGATAATAATTCAGTGAGGAGAGTTTTCTTCTTCTTCTTTGTCTTTTTCTTTTTTTTTTGCTTTTTGGTTCCCACAGACAGACCACAAACCACCCAAGGATGTGTCTATTTCCACAAACCACCCAGGGATCGCTGGAGCGATAGCACAGCGGGTAGGGCGTCTGCCTTGCACGCAGCCAACATGGCCGACCCGAGTTCGATTCCTCCGCCCCTCTTGGAGAGCCCGGCAAGCTACCGAGAGTATTCGATATGCCAGACACAGTAACAACAAAATCTCCAAAGGAGACGTTACTGGGCCCGCTCGAGCAAATCGACGATCAACAGGAGGGCCTTTACCTTTACCTTTACCCAGGGATCGGATTGCACACAGA